TGCCCTGCGAGGGCGCTGCCCGGCCCCTGGGCTCCTGGCCTGCACTGCCCTGCATGGGTGCTGCCCGGCCCGTGGGCTCATGGCCTGCACTGCCCCGTGAGGGCGCTGCCTGGCCCCTGGGCTCATGTCCCCACACTGCTCTGCGAGGGCGCTGCCCGGCCCGTGGGCTCATGGCCTGCACTGCCCTGTGAGGGCGCTGCCCAGCCCCTGGTCTCATGGCCTGCACTGCCCTGTGAGGGCGCTGCCTGGCCCCTGGGCACATGGCCCCTGCATTGCCTGGCCCCTGGTTTCATGGCCGCCACACTGCCCTATGAGGGCGCTGCCCAGCCCCTGGTCTCATGGCCTGCACTGCCCTGCAAGGGTGCTGCCTGGCCCCTGGGCTCATGGCCGCCACACTGCCCTGTGAGGGTGCTGCCCAGCCCCTGGGCTGGGTCTCCTCTCATCAAAACTTGGATGTGGACGTGCTTCCTCAGCAGGGCAGCCTGTGGGTGTCTGTAGGGTGAGATGGGGCCCGGGGCGGGTTCTGCTGTGCGGGGTGGGCTCTTGTTGTCTTGCCTGGGTCTCTCTGCAGTGTCCTTGACTCCTCCTGTTTGCCTCAGGCCCCCCGCCGTCTCTCTGACACCCCTTAACTGCCTGCCAGCCCTCCAGGCACAGAGGGAACCCCAGACGAGGGGTGGTTGGGAGCGAAAGCTGATGACTTTTCACCCCAGCATCTACCCTGACCCCAGGAGGCTCCGGGACAGAATGCAGCCCCTCGGGCCACAGCAGGAGATGGTACAGCGGTGGCCTTGGCTTCAGCCCTGGGCACTATTTGGAACAGCAGTCAGCTTCACCCCCACTTGAGGCCCTCTGCCCACCTGAGCACACGCACACCCAACCCACAGCATGCCTTCCAGAGCACCAGAGTGTGCCTCACACTTGTGCACAGTAGCACAAGCAGCCGTGTGCAGATGCCCATGTGCACATACACGCTAACGCACATGGACATGCTCCTGCAGCCACGCACAGTGGCCCAAGTTCCTTGCAGGACGGTTGGGCTGCAGGAACACCAGGGAGGCCTGCTTGCCTGCTGGGTGCATGTGGACTGAGAGGCCCAGACTGCTGGACGGTCACACCAGGCCCTGCCGTCCCTCCTTCCCTCACCCACCATCATGAGGGACGCTGATGGGCCTGGGGCCAGAAGAAAGTGGTGGTTCTGGTGACTGGGGTTAGTGCCCTGAGGGGGTGCCAGGCATGGTGGCCTTGCCACTGACACTTTTTTTGCCCCACAGCAAAGGAAGAGGCTGTCTGGGGCACAGCCACAGAGGGTGGGGGCAGGTGAGTGAGGGGCAGGCCTGCTGGGAGGGGCTCAAAGGCAAGGGGTGCGAGAAGTTGCCTTGTGTGTGGTAAACAGATGGCCCACCAAGTGCTGGTTCTTAGAACAGGGTGCGTCCAGTGCGGCTTTGTGCTGTGTTTGTGTGTGCAAGAGAGCGTCGGTAACACCCCAGCAACGTGAACCTGTGTGTGGCTGGGTGCGTGCCCCTGCATCTCCTGTGCAGAAGGCCTCCATCCCTGTCCATCCCAGGGAAGCAGCCCTTGGTGTCGTGAGAGCTGCACATGCAAGGCCCAGGCAGGGGAGCTTCTCTTGGTGTCGAGGGAAGGGGTGCTGTTGCTAGACCGGAGCCCTGTGAGTGTGGTGGGTGGCGCCGCTGAGCTGAGCTCTCCTGCCAGGAAGCACTGGGATTCCTGGCATTGTGGAAACGGTGCTGAGAGGGCCGAAGGGCTCCTGGGAGAGCAGGGAGTGGCACAGGCGGCTCTGTGGCTGCATCTTTGGAGTAAGATCCGTTGCTTACTCTGGCTACTTCCCTCAGTGGCCATTTTTATCATTTGTTTGGACTGGTAAATGTCTTTTCTGGGAGCCATTTCATCTTCCCCTCCCTTCCCAGAACCCCTCGGCCACGGCTCTGATGAGAACCTGGGGTCTGGGGCAGAGCCTGGACCCCACAGCCTCAGGCTGCCCTCTAAGTGGGCCCCCAGGCAGAGCCCCTAAGCCCCAGTGGTCTGCTCCCCAGCTTTAGTTGTTGCTAGAGGTCCTTGTGCAGAAATCTGATGTGAGAGCTAGCTGCTGCTCGGTGCAGAAGGCTCTGGCCTGGGATCTCTGCCCAGGGAACAGACCACCAGCTACTGTGTTCTCTCCAGTGATTAGCTGTCCACTCACTTTCCTGGCGTCTCTCTCCCCTGCAGCGGTCAGACCCACAGCTGCTGGCCCAGTTCTACTATGCCGACGAGGAGCTGAACCAGGTGGCCGCGGAACTGGACAGCCTGGATGGGCGGAAGGACCCCCAGCGGTGCACACTACTGGTCAGCCAGTTCCGCTCCTGCCAGGTGAGCAGCCACGGGTGGTGAGGGATGGCGCAGGCTGTCCTTGTAAAGACAGGCTTTGTCATCTGCCTACATTCTGCAGGGATGTTCTCTCTTGGTTGACCCTGGGGCTGTGGGGAACCAGAGCCAGGAGGAGGGTGTTCTTGGGCAGGACAGTGTGTAGTAGGAGGGCAAACTGCCCTGGACCCCTGGGGAGATCCGAGGTGAGGGAGGTGGGGAGGAGGGAGTGGCTGGCCTGGGGGTGAGCCTGCTCCTGGTGATGCAGGCATGCAGGGTCAGGGGCCACGCAGCTGCTGGCTGCTGGCTGCTTGCTGCTGACTCACGGCTGTGAGCTGCTGCTGCATAATTCAGATGGCACTGGAGGCTGCTGCTAAAAATACCTTAGCCAACCAAGTTTTCTGCCCGAGTACTGGACACCCAGTGACCACCAGGATCTTGACGAAGCTTGGGAACTCTGTATCTTCTGCCACGAGGTCTTGCTGGGCCCTAGGTCCTGGGAGGTGGGGATGGTATGTGCCCACCAACAGGGACAGACCATTGCTGTGTGACTGTGGCCCCTGCAAAGTGACCAGGGTGGCCACACCCCAGGCTGGCTCTGGGTCTTCAGGGGACCTGCCCCGATGATTGAAGGGTCATTCCTTCTCCTGTTCTTCGTCCACTTGGCCTGCTCCAGTGTTAGGGCTTTTCTGGATAGCTCAGGCTCCGAGTGCTTTTTTCTTTTTGGTTTCTGTGGTTTTGAACTAGTCAGCAACAGCCTCCATTCACCATGACTGTTCAGATGTTCCGATGGACATCCTTGGTTCCTCTGGGCTGGCCTCCCTGCTCCCAGGAGTTAGAAACAGGGCAGAAGGTACCAGGGAGCCGCCTACCAAGGGAGGCTCCACAGAGGAGAGATGCTTAGAGAGGCTGAGGCCCTGCGGCCCGCCTGGGAGGAACTGGGACGATTGTGGTGGCCTTTGGGAATGGCTGTTCCCTTTACATGCCTCACTCTGAGCTGGGTGCCCTTTTTTTTTTTTAATGTTTTTTAGTTGTTGATGGACCTATATTTATTTATTTATTTATTTATATGCAGTGCTGGGGATCAAACCCAGTGCCTCACACTTGCCGGGCAAGTGCTCTACTACTGGGTGCCTTCTGTTGAGTTGTCGGTGGTGCTGATGGCACAGTGTTGTTCTAAGTGAGTCTGAGAGGTGGCCCAGGGGAGGGTGCCCCCATCTGAGCTATGCACCGAGGTGGGGTGAGGACCAGAAGGGAAGACTCAAGGCCAAACCCTGACATGAGCACATGCATTCTTCTCTTGTCTCTGGCATCAGAGTAAGAATACTGAGGACGAGGAGGTCGCCAGACCCTCAGCACTGTCCCCTTCAAGGGTCACTTCCTCCTTCATGTTCTTCCTCTACTTGGCTCTAGGACTCTGCATCCCTGGCTGTCCTCCTGCCCACTGGTCACTTCTCCTTCAGCTCTTCTGGACCTGTCCTGCTCCCCAGCCACTTAGGCAGGTTGTAGCACAGGCCTTCTCCTGTCCTGTGTGGCCATGATGTCTATGCTGACCACCCCTGCACGTCCCTCTCAGTCTCCTCCTGCCTGACAGGATGCCTCCCTGCTTCCCTGGACGTCTCACAGGCTCAGCCCCAGCATACCCTGGAGCCCCTGCTGCCCAGCTGTCCACACCTCTGAGCTGCTCTTGGTTTTCGAGGTCCACGCCCCACGGCTCTTGCCAGTTAACCTGGTGCTTCTGTCTTTCCACAGTGTTCCAAGTGTATTCAGGTTTTGACTGACAGGTGCTAATAGAAATACATGGTACATTGATCTTATGAATGGAAACCTTTCTCTGGGATACAGGTCAAACCAAACTGCTTTTCCTACTCTCCTTTCTCACACAGCCACACGGCACTTCTGATGTGTGGGCTTTCCCACACCTGAGCGATTCTCTGGAGGGTCTGCAGCAGAGGCTGGCTGGGCACCTGCCCGCTCAGTTCCCTCCCAACAGGGCCTGGAGAGGGCATGAGGTCCGCAGGTCCCAGGCTTACAGAGGGCAGAGTGGCACTGCCTTCACATCATATTGATGAAGGATGCAGGGCGAGGTCTGGGAGGGTCCTATGCACAGGAGCACTCCCCGATGGAGCCGGGTGCCACCCTCCTGGCACACAGGGGAGCTCAGCAGCCTGGAGGCTCCCTGAACCCAGTCCCTTCTTTACCAGGGTGAGACTGATTGCACCACTGGCCATGGGTGAGCAGTTCTGCCTTCAGCCCCCTCCCTGCCTGGAGGTCAGGGTGAGGCTGAGCGTCTGGCCTCTGATCCATCTTGGTCTCTCTGGTAACCAAGCCAGTCCTGACGCTCCCTAGGGATGTCCAGCCAGCAATCACCTCATTAGCATACGACACTTACCATTCCAAAGTCCTGGGGTTTTAGGAACTATGTCAGGAGACTGGAAAACTGCACATATGTACATATATTTACCTGTATATGTGTATGCACACGTGATATACACACAAGTGTGTGTGTGTCTATTTTATTTATTTACCAAGACGGGGTGTCCCTGCTGCCCAAGCTGGCCTCAGCTCTGTGGCTCAGATGGTGCTCCTGCCTCAGCCTCCGGTGGGACTATACATGCATGCCACTGTGACTGTGTTTCATGATACCCCTTTTTAAGTTCACTTGTTAGTTCTGGCAGGATTTTTTCCCTTTTTTTACTGTTCTTGTAGCTAACATTAGACTTTTTGTGTAGACAATTGTGTTTTCTGAAGTAAGTACCCTGTGCTTCTTCCTTCCTGACTGAGGCCCTGGTTTGTGGTGCAGGCTCTGCCCTGCCCTGTGCCCGGCTGGAGTCTGGGCACGCCGTGGAGGAGGTGGCACAGACCCCTCCTCAGTCTCACCTCGGGGAGCAGGTGCCTGTGGAACCTGCAGGTGGTCAGCGGGTTTTCCACACCCCTTCTCAGGCCCGGGGTCTTCTCTGTTCGTGGCCCTGGGGGGAGTTCTATCGGGGGGGGGATGCCGAATCTTCTCCAAATGCTTTCTCTGCCTATGGAGATTATATGCGTCTGTTTTAATATAGTAAATTGCCTTGATTTTCTTTCTTTCCTTTTTTTTTTTTACTTAATAAATATAGACTTTTTGCATTATTATCCATTCCTTACCCAAAGTTGGGGGCAGGACGTAAGGACAGGGCTGTGTCTGCGACGCCCACTGATCTGTCCCAGTATGACACTCAACTCAGGAATATCCATGCAAAAGGAGCAGTTGGATGACTGTCTTAATGTTTTTATTTATTTATTTATAATATTTATTTTGTAGTTGTAGTTGGACACAACACCTTTATTTCACTTATTTATTTTTATATGGCTCTGAGGATCGAACCCAGGGGTCCACACATGTGAGCCGTAGAGCCACAACCCCAGCCCTAATTTGTTTTTAAAATGTGCCTTATTTTGTTTATTCTTTCTTGAACACGACAATCATGGCAGAAATAATGGTGAGCCGTGCCGAGCTGCCAGAGTCTGGATACCGTGCCTCTGTGAACATCCAGGCTTCTCCCCATGGCTATTTCTTTTCTTTTCTTTTTTTTTTTTTTGTGGTGCTGAGAATTGAACCCAGGGCCTTGTGCATGCAAGGCAAGTGCTCTACCACCTGAGCTACAGCCCCAGCCCTCACCATGGTTGTTTCTAGAGTGAAAATTTTCTAGCACTTTAAGAAATTTTGGCGCTGTCCAGGCCAGTTCTCTTATTTCCCAAATTAGAATACTAAACCCAGTCAGGGGAGGTGACTGAGCCACAGTCACATGCAGTGAACAGAAAGCAAGTGTGGTCACTTGCTGGTGGTCTGAGTCTTGGTGGATCGGAGCACAAGAGAAGACTCTCATTCCTCAGGGGAAAGGAAACAAGGGGATCACCTGAGCCTCACAAAGGTGCCAAAGAGAAAAGCATGTGACCTTGCTCTTGGTGAAAATAGATTTTTAAAAACACAGAAGGGGCCTGGGTGTGGTGGCATACCTGTGAACCAGTGGCTTGGGAGGCTGAGGCAGGAGAACACAGTACGCTCGAGGCCAGCCTCAGCAACTTCATGAGGACGGGGATGTAGCTCAGTGGTGAAGTATCCTGGGTTCAATTCCCGTGCTGCAAAAAATAAATGAATGGGGCTGGGGATGTGGCTCAAGCGGTAGCGTGCTCGCCTGGCATGTGTGCGGCCCGGGTTTGATCCTCAGCACCACATACATACAAAGATGTTGTGTCTGCCGAAAAATAGAAAATAAGAATTAAAAAATAATTCTCTCTCTCTCTCTTTGGAAAAAAAAAAATGAAAGTGCAGCATTCAGATCACATCATGGTTCTCTATCCTCACAGGAACATCTGGCTCACTCTGAGAGCTGAAAATGCTCTAGTCACCTGGGCCCCATCCCACATGTCCTTCCTTCCTTGGTCCAGGAGGAACCCAGGAATCCGCTGTTTGATTTTCGATATTAAAAGAAATGACTGGGCTGGGGCTGGGGCGGGCTCAAGGGCAGAGCGCTTACCTCGCACGTGTGAGGCACTGGGTTCGATCCTCAGCACCACCTATAAATAAATAAAAAATAAAGGCCCATCAACAACTAAAAAAAAAAGAAATTACTGGGATAATCCACTTGTTCATGATACATTATCCTTTCCATGTATTAACTCCAATTTCCTAATATTTTTTTTAGAGGTATGTCAAAGTGATCGTTCACTTTATTTAATTTTTTTTACTTTTAAAGAGATTGATTTAGTTCCCAATTTTTTTGTTTTGAGAGAGAGAGAGAGAGAGAGAGAGAATTTTAATATTTATTTTTCAGTTTTCAGCAGACACAACATCTTTGTTGGTATGTGGTGCTGAGGATCGAACCCGGGCTGCACGCATGCCAGGCGAGCGCACTACCGCCTGAGCCACATTCCCAGCCCCTCCTAATATTTTTTTAAAAAGATTAATTTTTTCCGTTTTTGCAGCCTGGGGACTGAATGCAGGACCCTGTGGGTGCAGGCGGGCTGCC